TTTAGTATGTGTATTGTTGATTGCACATACCACTGAACCCCCTTCTTTTAAATCTCTCTCAGAATTTTGCAAATTGGACACGGGATTCTAGCATCAGTAGGGCATGAATGATGAAAAGTGCACTGCATAATGTATTTGCACTATTTGCATGGAATTTGAATATATTTTAGCAGATATATCATAGTCCATTATTGCATTTCTGATAGGAGATGGCAGACGTGGTGGGAGCAAGCAGAAATGTAGATGCTGAACAATATTCCAAGAAACTATGTTTGTATAACTCAAGTTTTAAATAGAAGCCTTTATATAATGCCAATAGCTGCTGTATTTGCTATTGAACATAATTTGATACAATATGTATTGACTTCATATAATAGCTGATAGTGAGTTAACTATTCATTTTGCCTCTTCCCCAATTAATTTCCACAATATTCTAAATGTTAAGATATTGATATTGGCACTCTGAAACAAACTTTCACTGAATCCCATTCTATTGCCCTTTCCAATACACTTTAATTCTTACCGTTTCAAATATTTAACCACTTCACTTTCAAAATTTACTATGGATTCTACTTCACTACTATTTTTAAAAGAGATTCCATCTTCCAACAATCCTCTTCGTAAACAAATCTCGAGCCCAGGCACCCATCTGTTGAAGCAGGTGTACTTAAAATAAAACACAGCTCGATCAAAAGCTTTTTCTTTTAAATCAATTCTCATCAATGGCTGAATGTTTATTTTACAAGATAAAGGTGTGTTAATTGCTTTTAGTTCTGCTATTGATATTTTACAAATGTGATTGATTGATTAATAGTTGCATTGCGTTATAGTAACCATCGTGCTTTTTTAAAGAAAGTTATGCATTTCCATTTGCCATTGTTACAATAGGTTTATTAGGTTTGTGTAAAGCACATACTGGATAAAGGTTTGGAAATTCTATGAGTTGGCATGTACAGTACAAGGGTCCATTGGAGCAAGTAGGGTGCAGGATTGGTACTGATGTGGCATGGTGGTTGAGTGATGGCTAAAGGGTGTCATGACCTAACTGGAAAAAGTGCACCAATAATTGTTCCACAAGATAATACAAAATGTATAAAATCCCATTGAGGCCAGCAAAGTGACCAGTTTGCCTGACTGACTGCTACTCAAGACAGAAACAATACATTTCAGGTTCCTTAAGTAACAGTAAAAGTAACTCCAGCCATTCTAACTCGCCACTTTAACAAGAACAGTGAACAGAATTCTAATTTATGCAACTTAAACCATACCCTTCAAAACCGCAAACATGTACATACTCAATGGTAATTAACACAGACAAAAACAAATGATTCAAACATATAGTGTGGATAGAAAGAATATAGGCAGGCTAAACAAAATTCTAAAGATCACAAATCCAGATCACATGGTGAAATGTTCTTTTCCTCTCATATTCCTTTAGATTTTTGCAATGATGAGACACTGTTGTCCATGTAATGATCATTATCCTTCAATTCAATTTCTGATGGTGAACTTGGGTCTTTCCTTGTTGAATTCTTCATTTAGGCTTTCTTGAGTTTTTTGTCTCTTTCCTCACAAGGAGAGAGAGATACTGTCTGTAGGCTCTGAATATTTTTCAAGCACTACAGCTTGTGGCACCTACAGATTTTTAACACTCTGCACCTCATCCAACCAAGGGGTTGTTGCCTGGTAAAATTTCCATAAAATATTCTTGGCGCTATTTAGTCTGAGAATTTCCCACCACTTGCTTCCAAGAAGCACATTATATTGTGGACTTCAACAGTATGCATCACTTGATTGTAAAGTTGCAAAATGTTCCTGATTTTTTAATTATATTAGTCCAATTTCAAATTTAGTCCATAGTTCCAAAAAATGAAATATATGGTCACTCACAAGGGCTTAAGAAATAAGATAATCAAAGAATTTGCAGCAATTCCCAGAGGACATCTTCTCCAGGACCTCCCAGGACTTAAAGAATATTTGTGTTAAAATGTACACTGTACTTGAAGCTGTTGCAGAGATCTTTACTTTCCATCAGGCGAAAAGCCAGCACTAGATTTCTAAACGGTTTTGACATTGGATTATCACTAGAGGTATAAAGCAATGCTTTTCAGTATCAAGGCACACTTCAATGAGACAAACAATTTCATGACACACCTTTTTTTCAAATGAATTGATTGCTCAAAAGCATTACATTTCCATGGTGGTAAATATTAGCCCTTACTAGACAGGTTTGCAACACAGTGCATACAACAACTAATCCATTTCTTTCTTAGAATCCATTCTAAGATTGAGATCAGAGGCTTGATTAAGATAAATTCCAAATATATTCACCTTAAAATTGGCACCAATGTGGAAATGTGCCCAGGCAAGTCAGTTCAGCCATCATTGAACAATTTTGTGCCTCTTTATTACACCTGCAGTTTCTTCTCATCCAAGAGATATGGTCCTCAATCATTGTGTGTGCTCACACTGAATGTTTAGAGCTGTGCATGCATAAGCAAGCTGTATAACGAGTTCATTTTCCATCTTCCATACATACTTGGTGCTGAATCTCTTTGTGTGCATGATATTGGGAGTCTATGTGAAGCGGTGCTGCTTCCTGAGAATTTTGCAGCACCCTTCTCACCTTGCCACACTGAAAACCTGTTATAAATCACTATTCACAACTCCCCAGATTTTGTTTCATTCATTCACAGGGTGTGGGTATTGCTGACTAGGCCAGTATTTACTGCCCATCCCAAATTACCTAGAGGACAGTTCAGCATCAACGACAGTACTATAGGTCTGGAGTTACATGTAAACCAGGTAAGGATGGCATTTTCCTTCCCAACATGGTCATTAGTGAACTACATTCTTTTTCCCAACAATCTGTAACACTTTCACAGTCATCTTTAGACCCTCAATTCCAGTTTTTTATTGAAATCAAATTTCACCATTTGCCATGAGCAGGATTCAAACTCAGGTGCCCAGAACCTGGGTAATTGATCACAAAATCCACCTCACTTCAGTAACAAGGGAGCATTGAACTGTCAGAGAGTCAATAGTGAGGGAACACTGTTGAAAGTGCTGTTTTTTGGGATAAGACCATGTGCAGATGGATGGCATTAGTTTAGGATGGTATCATGGTTAGCATAGACATGGTGGGCCAAAGGGCCTGTTCCTGTGCTGTACTTTTCAATGTTCTATGTTAAATAAGATGAATGGGTTGGACAGTTCGCTCCTGGGTCTGGACCACAATGTTGGGATCTGTCCCTGTTCCACAAACCAACAGCCAGGAGAAAGTGCTTTGAAACTTCAGATTTTCTTTCCATGGGGGGAGTTTCTGTGAGTTATGATGGGGCACCCTGGAAAGGATGTGGTGATTACCAGATGCAGAGGTGGGCTGGCAGAACTGGCCTCAGCGCACCAGACTCTTTCCAAGACTTTTTTAAAAGGAATACAATAAAAACCCTCCAGCTGTGATTTCCACCCACTGACATACTCCTCTCATCCGTCATGCCCTCTACCCACTTCCTATGGCCCCTTTTACATCCTCAATGGCCCTTTACTGTCCCTATGCCAACTTAGTGCCAATCCTGGCCCCTATGTGCCCTTATATCTACCAAATCAACTCACCCAGTATCCACCATGGGCATACAACAGGACCAATGCCCAGATGAGATAAAGTTGTTAAATGTTTACTGAAGAATTCACTCAAAACATGAAACTGTCATTGGTTTAAAAACAAAATCAGTGCATTTAACATCTATTAATCTTTTACAAACAAACATCCCACTTCAAAGAGGCTATAATCACTTGGAGTTATCAATGTGAAATTGCAGGCACCCCACTGTGATATTGAAAGGTTGTGATATCAGTCATTCATTGCCAGCCCGGTAACAGTAGCCCTCAAGTTTGTGTCAACAGAGTGAAGTGTTTCTAGCACTCCAGATAATTTTTTAAAAAATTGAAAGGGCATATGTTTTAAGAGCCTTGATTGTTTGACAGTCATTTTGGACAGTTCCTTTTGATAATTATTTTTGACAAGTTACTTAATAGTTCCAATGAGCTTGACAGTTCCAATGAGTTGATGCATAGTCATGTCCACTCTTAAGAATCCCTAAGGGGACCTCACATCTCCCAAACATCACTTTACATCCCCAAATGTTATCCTGGGACCATATACACAAAAACATTCTGTACATTTCCAAAATGGTAGCCTACCTGTCTGAACAACTCCTGACAGCTCTAATTTGCACAAATCCTGTTTGCTGCCCTTGGCTGATAAAAATCAGATGTGACTGGAGGTAGTTGTTCCAACATTTCAAATTTGCAGGTACCAATTTCTATCAGCCTAGTAAAAGCAGTTGGTGCAGCCTTAATCATAGCTAGTTCTTCTGAATTAGAGAGGCCTTTTGCCCGAAGGTGTTATATTTAAGACAGTAACAAGAACCAGCAACAGTTACATCGTTTACATTATAAAACTTTTTCTAGTTTAGATCTTCTTTCTCTCCATGGTAGGAAAGGTGTTAGTCAAAATAAGTAACAAAACCCAAAATATGAACAAGGAAAGTGTTTACATTTTTTCTACATGTACCATTTACTCTAATTTGGGAAAAAACTCTAATTTGGGAACTCAAGACTCTATAGGAGTGAAACTGGTTTACGTTAACAGCAGTAAATGGACTCACAGAATGGGCTTCTTGTTAAAAGTTTGTGCAGTTTTTATTTAACATTGACTTGTAAAATATTGCCAAGATTTTAAATTTCAAACTATGTAAATACAGCTGTTAGAAATAGTTTCTCAAAAGAGTTTGAACTATCATTCTCTGAATTTCAATGGAAAGAAAATTGGACAAACAAAAGGCTGCCAGTTTTTTTCAAGCCCATTTTGCACTGACAGTGTTAACTAATTCCATCCCTATTTGTCTGGTTTTGTCTACTACACACAGTGTATGTAGTATGATCTAATGAAGGACTATAAATTTCAAGCATATTTTTAAATGACTTTTACTCAACAATATTTTCACATAGTTTTTATTACCAGATCAGTAATCAACAATATTTGTCTGATACTGTATTAGCACAAAGTCGATTTAAAACACTCGATTTCACAAGATTTGTTCATAAAGATTTTACAGCAAATATTTCATTTATTAAGCATATGCCGTCATCTATTGTTAAACTGTCTTACACAAGTTACTTGTCATTTCTCAAAATTATCTGTGTTAGTTGTTAACATTTTTTACAGCATCAAGAAATGACCCATGTCTTGTCATGCTGATCACTGGTCTTATGCAAAATTAAATAATTAGTTATGTCAAGCAACCACAGAAAATGCTGGAGAAACTCAGTAGGTCTGGCAACATCTGTGGAGATAGAAACAGTTATGCTTTAAGTCTGATGTAACTCTTGTTCAGAACTTCCTTGAGTTCTGAAGAAGTCATATCAGACTCAAAATGCTAACTCTTTTGTTTTCACAGATGCTGCCAGACTTACTGAATTTTTCAAGTATTTTCTGTGTTTATTTCTGATTTCCAACATTTGCAGAATTTTGCTTTTAGTTATATCAAGCATGAGCTTTGCACACAATTCAAACAAAACACTGATTTACTTATCTATCGTCACATTACAGATGTCACCAGGTTTACATTGTCCATGGATCAGTGTAGAAATAAAATGTTATAATTGACCATATAAAACTTCCAAATGTTACAGCTTGAAAGTGTGCACACTGAAAAGACACAGTCACATAGGCACTTGAGAAAATATAACACTACAAAGGGATAAGGCACAAAGACAAAACTCACAATGTCTTTGGAGAGACAGAATCAGCATTACTGTAAAATGTTCCAATACACCGATTTTACCATAGACACTGATACCCAAATTGCACTATCCATCACTGTATCTCCATACCTGTTTTAGCACAATTACACTGAACTTACACTATTGTTTACAAATATTCTTAACACTTTGGATTAATCGCACTGTAGTGTGACTTTTTAAATTGCATTTTTTTAAAAAACAGTAACTCATTGTTATGCAACATTGGCTTGAAGATTTTATCAGTTTCTTTTGAGAATGATTTTTAATAACTGTTGAAACTCATGATTAAAAATATTATGAACAAAGTATCACAGTGCTGAATGTTAAAATTGAATAAAATCAGAACCATATATTTGATGGATAATGGTTGCCGTTGTGTTATTTTAAATCAATCTTAATGTGAATCTGTGCTTCAAACATAAACTGTAGGCTTTCAAAATGAATTTCTCATGAAACAGCCACCTATGGTGTACAAGCAGGGTATCTTAGCTCCCTAAAATCTACTGGATGAGTTAATCTGATTTTCACAAAAGGTTTGGAGAGTTCCTGGAGATGCAGCACCATGTACAATACTAGCCAGTATGTCTGTACAAAACTTGTCTCTCTGTAATTTTTTTGAAACTTCCATCACGGCAAGATGATCTTTTTTATATGCATCTCGGAGGCATTAAATGCAATTTAGGACCTTAAAAAGGCTTCATTAAGATTGATAACACTGAGGATATTTGGTGTTTTAGTAACACTTAGTTTTATATATATGCTATAATCTCTGTAATAAGATTCAGCTGCTGCAAACAGAATTATAGGCAGAAATGTTCTAATGAATACACAGTGACTAAGAATGCAATCTCCAAGGAATAGCTGTTGTCAACATAATGTGTATGATCATGAAAAATTAACATAACTTGCATCAAAAGATAACTGATACATGCAAAAACATGGATTCCTATAAGCAACTGCAAGTTCAATTATGACTTATTATGGTTCAAGGTTGGAGAAGGATCCACAGAACTTACAAAGAAATAAGGATATGGGCAATGACATTTCATTTGTAGTTTACCTCATGGGAAACTAAATTATTGTATGAATCAGCAAGCAGAAATATTTTTTAAGAAGATTAGCACAGTGGGCAGATGTTGACTGCAAAACTGTGCAATAAGGAAGAGGTGATGAGTCTGGCTCTGAAGTACCTCCTCAGTTCTTTCTGAGTAGTCCCTTTTGATACGCAAAGAGCCCCATAGCAGCTGCAGAAGTGAGGAATGTTGACCATCCGAAAAACTTTAAGCATCCTGGAATTGAAGGCATGTTTCTCTCCCAGAACGTTGTTTTGATTGGAAATGCAGGAACGTCCTGAAAGAAATATGTACATCAGGAGCTGAGTTACGAAAAGGAAATTTTCACAAAACAAACAATGCTTCAACCAAACTGGGGGACAAATCTGTTTGCTGGTTCAAAATCATACCATGTAATCTGCTCACCAAGGCTGGCAGCACATAATCTTCGTGCTGCCTCCTCATTTGCCTGATACTGACCCAAAGGCAGTGAAGGAATGACAATAAAAAACCAAGTCAGGAGAGTGTGTGGTTTCAAGGGTGACCTGTAGGTGGCCTTTGGAAGGTGCGACAAGTTGCTGCAGTACAAAATTGTATATGGTACAAACTGTTCCTACTGTGAATCAAAGTAGATGGAGTTAATTTTTTTAAAAATTCAGTCCTGGGAGGAGGGCATCACTGACTGAACCAGCATTTATTACCCCATCCCACAGTTAAGAGTCAACCACATTACTGTGTGGCAGACATCACATGTAGGCCAGACCAGGTAAGGGTAGCAGTTTCCTTCCCTAAAGGACATTAGTGAACCAGATGGGTTTTTCCCCAACAATTGGCAATGGATTCATTGTCATCATTAGACTATTAATTCCAGATTTTTGTTGAATTCAAATTCTACCATTGCAGGATTTGAACCTAGGTCCCCAGAACATTACTGGGGTCACTGGATTAACAGTCCAGCGACAGTACCACTAGGCCATCGCCTAGTGCTTTGATCTGGGTGGTGTCTATGTGTTGTTAGACATTCACTCATCCAGGCAAATGAAGAGTATTCCAACTGACCTCTGATCTGTGCCTTGTGGATAGTTGTCAGGTTTTGAGGAGTGAAGAGATGAGAAGCACACTTCTCAGCCTCTGACCTACGTTGGAATAACAGTATTTATATGACTGATCCAGTTAGATTCCTTGTCAGCGTTAACCTCAGGTGATTGATAGTGGGAATCCAGTGATGCCAATGCAATTGAATGTCAAGGGGTGATGATCAGATTCACTCTTGCTGGAGACGTTCATTCCCTGGCACTTGTACGGCTCAGATGTTACTTGCCACTTGTCAGCTCAGTTCTGAATGCTGTCATAACAAATGAGGGGGAACTAACTGATCTTTAAGTTTTAATTGATAGAACAATAAATAAATGAAACTGGGTTTTAAAGCACTGGAGACTTTACCTCTGAGTCAAATACAGGTTAACAATACCTGAGAAGCTCTACAGAGAGACAATAAAGAAAAACAGTCTTATGGTTAAGTATGGCAATTTTTGAGGAATTAGACAGTGTTCAGTATGGAAATCATGGGGTGCCATATGAAGATTGCAAAATTACTGCATCAGTACACAAGCATATGCACGTAACCAAAAGTGATGGAGTTAATCCACTATAATTAACATTAATGAAACAATAGTACTAACTATTTTAATTTTGTACAGAACAACTGATTTAAAAGCAGCTGGAGGTCCCAGTTAAAAACTGAAAGAACTGCGGATGCTGTAAATCAGGAAAAAAAACAGAAGTTGCTGGAATGGCTCAGCAGGTCTGGCATCATCTGTGAAGAAAAAAATCAAAGTTAACATTTCAGGTCAGGTGACCCTTCCTGAGTTTTTGTTGGAGGTCCCAGTTGATGAATGTAGGGATTGACAGGTAAAATGTGAAGTTGTAATTGTCACTTGTTTAGGAAGTTTGTTTGATCACAGTCAGTACACAATCAAGGTCATGTCGCCATAGTCTTACCAGACCATAGGCCTCTCTCTCATTAGAGAGAGATGATTGATGGTGATTTAACCTGAGGGCCACCACACCTCAGGCGAGAGGAGAGATGGAGAAGGAACATCTTTCATCACAACCTCAGCCGGTGCAGGAACTGAACACATATTGAATCATAGAATCATCATAGAACCCCTACAGTGTGGAAGCAGGCCAGTTGGCCCATCAAGTTAACACTGACCCTGCAAAGAGCATCCCACTCAGACCCCATCCCTGTAACCCTGCATTCCCCAATGGCTAATCCACCCAGCCTGCACATCCCTGGACATTATGGGCAATTCATCATGGCCAGTCCAGCTAACGTGCACATCTTTGGACTGTGGGAGGAAACTGCAGCACCTGGAGGAAGCCAACGCAGACATGGGGAACACGTGCAAACTTCAGACAGATAGTTACCAGAGGGTGGAATCAAACCCAGGTCCCTGGTGCAGTGAGGCAGTAGTGTTAACCACCGAGCCACAGCGTCAGCTTTGCAAACCAACCGTCCACACCACGTGTTAGAAATGTTCAGAAACTTACCAAAGATGGTGGCTCAGGTTGCCAGATCTCACTTTTTGAAATCTTTCCCATTTCATGCAGGATCTGAAGGAGGGGAAAAACACACAAGTACATATTTAAAAATATGAATTATTTTTCCAGTAATGCATTTATCCTTAGTAACAGAAAACTAGCTGACAGCTACAATTTATCTGATATTTACCAACTAGCTACTGATATCAAATACTATTGAAACAGTAAGGAAAGGTTAGACCAGCATACCTGCACTAATTGCCTAGCAACATCACCAGGGCAATATTTCTATGTATTTCTGTATTTAGACTATTACAAAGTCAGCATTTCTATTCTAACCCTCTGAACCTTATTAAGGTTAATTTTCCTTGTAATTAAGCCAGAAACAGGTACCACCACCTAACAGCATATATCAGAAAATAGTGGCATGTCCTAAAATGGGTTGTCACTGGACAATATCATTTATAATCAAGCAGGCTGAATCCTCAAAATGAAGGAATATATATTTTGATTGCGGTGTATTTTGTTTAGAGTTTACTATTATCAATTACAATTAATCTCTGCCAGATTAGTTTAGTGCTTCATCTGAGTCAGGAGATTATGGATTAAAGCAGCATAAGATATGGGAACATACTTTAAGGTGATATTTCAGTACAATATTGAGGAAGTTGAACTGTTCGTTTGGATGAAATGCTAAATCAAAGACTGGTCTACCTGTTTAGGGGAATGTGAAAGATTCCAGTTTAAAAAAAGAGCAGAAATACCCTCCAACCCTGGCTAACATCATCAAAACAGATTAACTGGTTATTTATTCTATTGCTATGAATAGGCTATACATTCGCCTACAGAACAACTTTAATTGCCCTTCCAAAAGTAATTATTTGGTCCTGAAACACTTTGGAAGACCATGAGAATGTGAAAAGTGCTGATGAAATTTCAAGTTAAAAATGATTTTTTTCATTTTGTCAATAATCTAATTTTCAAGTCAAATGTCATTACAAACTGAAGTTAACTTTCAGTAGCTAGAATCACCTCCAAGTCAAATTTTATACAACATATTTCAATGGCTTTCAAGTTAAATATCATACCATAAAATTGAAACTTCAGTGTGCCTGACTGTACATCATAAAAGAATGATTAACAAGCAATGAATTTTTACATGGACTTTAAGTTCATCCCCAGGTTGAAGACAGTCTAATGAACTGGAAATTCTCCCTCCCTCTCCAGTGAAGCATTGACATTGAAAAAAAGACTTGGTCTACCAGCTACAATAGCATTCAAAACCCTGATTGATAGAATATTGGCAGAAGAATGAAGGATCTATGGTAGTTAATACCCTAATAAAATACTTGATATTGACCTGAAATTATATAGTCACATTAAGTTATGAATACTACATTATCTATTTTCCATTAATGGGGAAGCTAAAACTGAGTAAAATGCTTAAGTTCAAATTAATAGCACACCTTCAATGGAAGATTTAAGAGGGAATTTGACAATGCACCCTCCACAAACTCTTGAGTTTATTTTTCAGAATAAAGCTGTTCCTTCAACGAATAGCAGGCTTAAAATGAATTATATCTATACAATTAACTTTGTTTTCATATTCTTTAGTACTGTGTGAAGTCAATTACACCAATGATGTCAAGGAATATTTGATGCTAATTCAATATTAACAATTGTTAAGTATGGGTTAGTTTGGACTATTGATCATAATGTAATTACAAAGGAAAATCATTTGTTTCATCTGAGTTGACCTGTCTACAAGTATCCATTGCAGCATCCAATAGATATAAGGAGGAAATTCTATAGCTTAAGCCTTAGGTAGCTGTAGACACGACCATCAATCATGGCCCAATGGAATAGGGCAAGGATATAAATCCAGACAAAAATTGGAGCAGGCAGAATTCTCAGACCATGGGAGGTTGAATAAAGTTGCAGAGATAGGTTGGAGAGAAACCATGTAGGGATCTGAACATGAGGATGAGAATTTTAAAATTTAGATGTTGGTGGACAGGGAGCCAATATATGCCAGCAGGGCTAGGTGTGAACAGGACTTTGTGCAGGTTAGAATACAGCAGAGTTTTATACAAAGTCAAATTTACAGAAACTTCAAAGTGGGAGGAAGGCTGACTAGAAGGGCAGGGATAGCAAAAACATAAATAAGGGCTTCAGCAGCAGATAAGCTTAGATTAGGGTAATGTAATCGAGGTAAAAATAAGTAAGCAGACTTTGTGATAAAGAGACTACCAAGCCTGAAGCTTGACAGCTTGTAACTGTACACTAAAGTCCCTGTGTTCTAAGAGAGCAATGAGTACCACAGAAAGGCTGGCAGCTGCAAGTCAGTGCTGCAGTCAACGTGTGCTAAGAAAGCACTGTTAAGCATCGAAAGCTGGCAGCAGTAAGTGCTGAATGAGCAATTACACCAAGAAAGAGAGACCTGAGGGGCTGAATGAGGATGAAGGCCTGATTTTCACCAAGTCAGAGATGTTTTCACCCTGGTGAAAGTGCCAGAAGACACCGAGAATCACAAATCCTATCCCTAAAACTGGCCATTTTCATACGCTCAGGGCAGGCTGAGGGTTACACGTGCCGTTCCTGGAGGCAGCTGGTTATTTTAATGATCAGCCGAGTCCAGAGAAGTGGGATTTTGACATCCCTGGCACCAGAGTGTGGAGATTAGACAAGTCAAGAGCAGACTTGCTCTCAATGCATTTCTTTTGGTAATTAAAGTGCCCCTGTGGAGATTTGAGGTAGCCCCATGGATATTATTGAAGTACACCTTGTGGTGGGGGTCAGGGATCCTTCAGGGAAAGGTTTCCAATATCCTTTGGAATGGACCTCAGCGTTCCATTTGGAAGGAGGGTCAGGTGCACTCCATAGATGCTGTCAGACTTTCTCCAGCACTTTTCTGCTTTCATTATGGCAGAAAAAAGTTGGAACAGTTGGCAAAGGGGCTATAAAAGAAAATGGGATGACTGAGAGCACATGAGATATATGGGCCATGGGACATAGGCATGGGGTAGCACAGGAAATGTGAGAGGGCTAAGAGTGGCTTCGGGGCATAGGTTAGCATAGATGGGGCGTAGATAGTGAAGGAAGGGACTGGTGAGAGCAGTTTTCTGTTTTGATCTTTATTTTTCAACTTTGCACACAGTGCTGGAGTGCCCAGGCTGGATTTCTCGGGAACTAGGCCGCTTCTTAAGTTCTTCCTTGGTCCCCTGACCTGATTCCTGTAGAAGCCCATCATCCTGGGAGTGAAAACCCAAACTGTGGGTGGCTGTTTTATAAAGGCTGCAGTTTGTGGATCTGGAATTTTTCAGAACACTGCTCTGCCGACCCATGAATAAAAATCAAGGCTACAGTGTTAGTGTGTCTGTGGTGAATCCAAAATACTCCTGAATGCTAGATTACTAATTGCTACATATGACTTAACAATTAGAGTACATAAAGGATAGAATTACAGTCTGTTTGGAACAAATGGATGGAAATAGAACCACACAAGTGCAATGAAAGAAAGGGTTTATATGTAACAGATGTAAATTAACTAGCGGAAGATTCAATAATCTAAAATACATTAGGTTGCTTCACACAGACTAGCAGCTTCAATTTTAATAAGTCTCATTATTTTTTGACAGAGCAAGAAAGTGAAAAGCCTCAGGACAGTAGCAGAACTCATCTAAGGGAAAGAGACATGATTACTGAACTCACTGTGTGCCAAATGCTTTCACACAGAGACATGTACTGTCTGGGTTTCCCTGTTCATTTTACTTCAGGCAGGCACAGAGGGGAAATAGACTATGACATGATTGTATGTGTGGGAGAAGTCATGCAGAAGAAGTTGTAAAGGTGACTCAGAAATCAGAAGCTTGAAAGTATCTCTCTACCCATAACTCATGTTTTGATCCTTTGGAAGACTGTTTGAAATGCCTGGGATCTCGGGACACTACAAACATGTCAACAGCAAATACATTAATGGCATTAATGTTTCAACACTCAAAAAAATCTAATCTAAGTTCTAATTTATAATTACTTTAAGGGTAATGAAAATTTTGTTTCAAAATTAATTTACATAAAAAGCCAATTAATTCTGGTCTTCTCTAATGTACTTTCAAATTAAATTTAAGTAAAATATTAAATTCATCTCACATGCATTATGCCTATAAAATTATTTATGATGACTTCTAAAGCTGCATTGTACTATTGAAGGTATTGAAAAAGGTTTAACATTGTGATTTGAGCTCTTTGGATGAAACAAATTTGATGATTTTCAGATACAATCTGAATAAATCTGGTATTAATTGGAAAAGTTCAATACCATCCTTTTATGTCAATGTCAAATATTTTATCTGAATGGAAAGCAAAATAGGTTCTGCAGTGATTGTAACAAGGTCAACCTCAGAATACAAGTTCCCTGATTGGGGCTGTTAACCTGGTTCAATTAGGGAGCCCTGGCAGACAGATGAACAGGAGTATCAGAGATTCTGTTCACTCTGAGAGCTGGCTCTGAGGAAGCTGAATCTGTGTCAAAGACTCTCCATGTGCGAAAAAGGGTGACTTGGTGATGGGATACCTGCCTCTGTGGAGTTATTTCAGGTTCCAGCATATAAAAACAGAAAATACTGTAACTGCAAAGAGAGAAATTGAATTAATGTTTTAGGTCAATGACCTTTTATCAGAACTGGCTCTGATGAAAGGTCACACAGATCATTAATGTTAATTCTGTTTCATTCTACACAGATGTTGCTCAGCGTCTGGAGCATTTCCAGCATTTCATTTATTTATTTAGATCTCCAGCATCCCCAATAATTTGTTTTTCTATTAGATTTCAAAATTGGTTCCTGAGGCACATCTTTACCTCCTTTTTGTCATTTCAGTAACATTCATTTTTGCTGCTTTTGGTTTTCAGACATGGTTAGACAAATCTCTCATACCTTATAAACACATAATCTCCTTATCTACACATCAAAAATGTAAAATAACTCAGTTAAATTAGTGAAGAACTATCCAAGCACTACAAATCCATGCTCCTTTACACTCATACCTTTCCAGTTATTAACATGCATTTCACATGCATCCCCTCTCTTATCTTAAAATGGTGTGGAACATTTTTCTTCAGCCTTTGGCTCAATTCCTGTTTTTAAATTATTCCTCCGTTATCCCTGCCCAAACCAGTTTAAGTAATTTGACACGCCATGGACCCTGCTGAGCCTGGTGACTGCTGTTTTTACTCCCATTCAATATCTACATGTAATCACTGTTTGATTATTTATCCCCTGTAGTGGCTCTTCCATATAATTCGCAGGTACTCCAAGTCCTACTCCTGTTGTATCTCCCCTCTCAATTATAAAGTAGTTTGCTTGTGGTCTCATCTCTTCAGCCATTTTGTACATCTTATGTAATTAGGAAAGCTCCTTTTATTTCCTCTTATGTGCTCCCAATCTTTCTCGTTGCTTCTGCTCACTCCTTTGTATTTTGTCTTTGCCTTGATTATATCACTCATTTTTGCTACAGTCTCTCAATATATGCAATCAAAGCTGTTGACATATTCCTTTAATCCTGAATGGAATACACTTAGCCTGCGAAAGTAGAAAGCATCTGGCTGAAATGAAATGCTAGTCAATACGACAATGTATTTTCCAGCGTCATTAAACTGGTATTCAAACAAGAACAAAGGAGGGAAGTAAAGGAAGCAAGTATTTGCTGTTGTACAGAACCGCTGAATACCAGTTTAATGAAAACGATTCATGAGATCTTGATTCAGAGGTGCCTGCCTCCTTCCAAGATCCTAAAGCCGTTCAGGGATAGCCACAGGGAGACAGGACTACCTCCTCCAAACATGGTTTACGACAGCTTTACAAAATTCTCAAACTGATGCAGCATGAAATTATGATACAGTTTGTAGCTCAACCATGCCAAAGTGAAACAGACCATAGCCCTCCTTAAGGTGAGGTTTCTATACCCAGACTACTCCGGTGGGACTTTTTGGTACAGGTCAGAGAGGGTGCCCTGCATCATTGTGGTATACGATGCCCTTCTCGTCTGAAGTCGGAAAAGGTGGTGGTGTTCTGGATGCAGATGAAATGGGGGATCGATAGTAATCGGAGATTGAACATGAAGTTGAGGATCAGCGCATTGACCAGGAGGGCTGTCCAAGAAAGCATAACAGAGTAATGCATCGCAGAATCTAAGAGGCCAGACAGAACTGAACTGAAATAACCCCTGATGAAGGGTCTAGGCCCGAAACATCAGCCTTCCTGCTCCTATGATGCTGCTTGGCCTGCTGTGTTCATCCAGCCCTGCACCTTGTTATCTCAGATTCTTCAGCACCTGCAGTTCCTACTATCACTAGAACTGAACCGAAGCCCACTTTCACGGTGAATGAGTTGGGTTTGGATATGGTATCATCGTTTAACATTGTGTGATAATTAGGCCAAGTAGCTCCTTCTTAGTACAAAGGGCATCTGGACCTTGTTATTTTTGCATTCCTTGACCTTTAGTGTGGTTGACTAAATGAATTGTTGTCAATGTGATTATCTGCTTAATATCTCGGGTGATCCCACTTTATAGTATGGGCACATTACATGTCCAACTTTAAGGTGAAGCAGCAGCCATTAAGATAGTTTACTAATATTGCATGGCACTAAGGTTAGGTAGCTCTTAGGCTAATATGATAGCACAATAAACAAAATAGAAGCAAAAGAGTAACTTCATCTCAAAACATTAACTCTGTTTTCTCCACAGATGCTGCCGGGCATGCTGAGCTTCTCCAGCATTTTCTCCTTGTGTATTACACTGAATGCTATGCCGTGAAGTCCCTCATTATAACCAGCAAGTTGGGAGGAATCCCGAAGAGGCTCTTTTTGATGTTTCCACTTTCAGTAACCCTTTACTGTTTCAGAGTGAGTGCAGATTGCTAAATCGCCCTGCATTCTCCAAGACCGCATTGAGCCTGCGAGAGGCAGCATCTTGTGCAGCTTTTCTTGGCTGTGAGGCAGGCTAGACATGTAGACTGTCCATTATACATCTCCCAGTCTTTAATGACAGTGCATTGCCTTGAAAAATCAATCGAATAAATCTTTACCTCCAGGGATGTGGAGAAACATCATTGATTCTATACTCTCATATTCTCACTCAGAAGGTCCACATTAAAGTGTAACACCTTAGCTGTGATCTTCAATGTCTTAGTTTAAGATTCCCTGATGTCTTATTCTATCTGAAGTCAAGGAGTCAGTTTCTTGTGAGAGATGTGCAATGTTTGGACATTACAACTTCCTTCATTCTTCGGATACCCAAACAGGTTGCTCATCTCTCACCTAGAGTTCTCTATGCTGCACTTGGAGTCTCTTTCCACTTAAACAATAATCTGTCTTTTGATTCTTCTTACCAAAGTGCATGCCCTCACACTTTCAACATTAGTGATGTGCTCACCAGAATTTACTCTGGAGTTTAATCTAGAAAGAGACCAACTTGGGTGAAAGTCTATGAGCTGATGAGGACGCAGGTGAAAAGATTTACTGGTGTATGCTCTGAGGAGTCAGTAGCTTCCTCCTCAGAGGTGGAATTGGAGGTGGAGGTGGAGATGAGGGTCTCTGGTGCTGGTCTGCTCTTCGCAGAGGTTCACTGGGTGTGACTACTGACTGCATAAAAGAAGCAATTAGTTGTAAAAATGCATAGCAGCTTGTGCAGATTAAGAATGAGTTAACATTGATGGTTATAGGAGATCAGTGCAGCACAATGAAACTGACTGGTCTCTCCATCCCCATAGGAGCAGTCCTGCCCCTCTCAGGCAAGATGTATGGGTTTCTCCTGTGTGGAGTGAGGAGTCTGATGTTTACCGCCATAACCAACCAGCTCCCACCCCAAATCCCCAACACAGCCTTGAACCTCCCAGCCAGTTAAAGGGCCAACATTTCCTGCAATGAGGCACAAAGGGAGGGATTGGATATGTTGGAAGTGGGTGGAATAGTACTTAGCGGTCATTTGTATGCAGGAGAGGCAGTGACGTGTTCACAGTAAGTGAGTAGAAAACATAGGGGACAGGAATGATTATTTGTTTGGGAGGATGAGGGGGTGAGAGACAATGAGTGTCTCAGCATACAATACAGAGTATCGTAGTCCCTCAGTGAGAGGCATGATGCATTGGTAGAGTTAGAGTGAGTACTATCCTTGTAAGCAGGAGGTACCAGAGACAAGATGGTGGCACTTACCCTTGCAAAGCGTAGGTGATCACTGACCATTTTTTCTACACTGCCGGGCAGTCAGCTTCACCAGTGATCCAGGCCGCCATCTGTGTCCAGGCTGGCTGGATCTGGTGGCATAGCCTCTGTGATTTTAGCTGGGAAAAGGATAGTCCACCCCTCCATCACTGTGTCCACCAGAACGTCCAGGTCCCTGTCCACGAAGCGGGGAGGAAGCTCGTCTTTCTTCTAGGCCAAAATGTTGTGTTCCAAAATAACAGTCAAGCACTACAGTGTGGGAGCATCTGAAATGGTCTGCAGTAGCTTTGCTTTAACTATGTCACTAGAGGTGGGTATGCCAGAGCGCCTCACCAGTGGTGGTCACTTCCACCTCTCCTGCCATGCAATTCCCTGAGAAAGGCATCCAACAGCCCAGTTGCATAATTAATAAGGTGAAGAGCTGAAACTGATGTGAGAAAATTCACTTTGGGCCATGATGCGCCAGATGCTGTGTAACTCACTGCAAAAACATATTAACTACAAATAGGAACATTTTGATTTATGTAGATGTCTCTGAAAAGGACTTAAATCAATTTGCGTCTGACTTGAGTTGGTGCTAGCATTGAGCTAGGGAGCTAGGGCTTGAATGTTTATCAGTCTATTTATATAGTTGTAAATTTTACTTCCTTTGGGCTCAAAGACATAGTTAAATACTTAAAACCAGCAGCAGGTGAAAGTCAATATTAAAAACGCATTAAAGTTACATGCACTATACAGACACATCATCTGTGCAAGGAACGTTTCCATTTGTGCAAAAAGCTGTTGCTATTTCATTGCATTTTTTAAAAATCACCCTTATCAAAGAATTAACTTCCCAACATCAATAAATGTTCTCAACTGCTTGGAGTTTTTTTGAACAGCACAATGCAAAATGCGAGTCTATATCTGACCTACCTCTCTGGCTGCTCTCTCCCCAGCCTGAACAGCACCCTCCATGTATCCGCTCCACTGGGTGGCTGTCTCAGTGCCAGCGAAATAGATCCTCTGGAATGGCTGCCTCAGGATTCTTCAAAGACAAAAATATTCATTAAAAACATGATGCTTAGAATATTTCAGTAGAAATGTGTCCATACACACATGCAGCTAGTCAGCACTAAATGCCACACAATCTTTGTAACTGCAACTGTAAACAAAAATGCACATTTTTGTGCTGCTCCAGGAAAGAACAGAACATAAGACCAGAATACCATAAGATACAGGAGCAAAATTAGACCATGCATCATGCTATCTGTTTTGAAACCAGCTGGCAGGCCATTAACAACACAAGATACTTACAGCAGGGTCATTTGAACCATCTAATTCATGTGTTCAAAACACTTGTACACTCCCAGCACTCCGGAAATTGGATGCTTTCATTATTAATTTTTTTTTACATAACTCAAAGGCAAAGTGAAGATGTATGCCCATTTAATGGATGCACAAGAACCTGAAAGCTGGATTTTGATACTTTTGTACTGGCACTAAATGTCTTTGCCAAAAAACAGCAACTAACCAGCAACAGGGTTTGGATTAGTTGAAGTACAGTTTACCACAGACTTGAGGAACATTTGGCCCACAGACCTCACAAAAGCCTATAAGCAAGCCAGACCCTCTCCCACTGTCTTTTTAACTTTGAAAGTAACAACACACAAAGACAAAAAGAAAGTAAACTTCAAATTCTGACCAAGACCTAAGTCCAACTGACCAGCTACTCAGGACCTCAGTAGCTCACAATAACATGATATCATTGCCAAAATCCAGAAAATAATCTGTATGAAAGTTACCTCATTTCCCCAACTGACTTGTTTGTCTTGTCCATCTGTCTGTCTACGTGAATAAATGTCTGTGTGTTTGGATTTAGAGGAGGTATAATTGAAGTTTATATATTAATAATTAATAATCTGGTTTTGCCACATGCTAAGAGAATAGGTTTGTTGTAACAAATAAGTTATAGCTTTCTTGTTAATGAAAACTGGTTTGAGTTTCTTCTGTCTTAGCTAGAGGCCACAGTTAGACATTAACCATCTTAGAGAAATTAAATTGGTCACATTTCATATTTGTGAAAACTCCTGGAATACCGGGGCTTCATTTCCAGCATACCATTCGACCAGGGTCATGACATATGTAATACAAATTACAACTTAAAGTACAATCCATCTACTTTGTCCCAACAATGAAGCTCAGTTCTAACTTTCTCGCTGCCTAAATGAAGGTGTAGAGATGAATTGGAGCAATTAATAAATAAGACATGTGCTGCTTCCTTATTGAATTGGTGTAACTCGACACAATATGCTAAAAAATACAACACTATCAACAGAAACAACAAGAGCTCTGAGTGAACAATTTACAACCTTTAATTTGATCCATGGATGTTATAACAAGTAATATAGACTTCTCTGACACAACAGAAGCACAATTTTACTCTGCAGAATAGCAATAAACATGAACAAATGCTCCATATAAGAACCTTGATTAAATTAGCAATTTTATGCTCTAAAAACCCTAATCTGAATCCATTCACAGTTCAGTGGCTGTTTAACTGCTGATGGAGATAATGAAATTAATATACGTACTTGCCATATTGAGTCATAATTCCCGGAGGGAAGTACACAGTGTAACATCCACCTGAATATTGCTCTTCACACCAGTTCTTTTCCTCATAATGAATGGGCTGAACGAAAATACAAACCACACGAGCATTATGCATGTTTGTTTGAATACATCATTTTAAATCTAACATTCTTGACAGTGGATACAGATCTTTGAGAGCATGCTTTCAAACAGACAATCTAACAGCAGGAAATTTAGAGTCTGATGGAAATTGAAGGCTAGTTAATGGTTGCAAACAACTTGTTTTGTTTGCATGACTCTTTATTCACCTTTTAGCCCTTTACATGAGAGCGAACTCATCATATTAAACTACTGCCCCAACTTTCCTGTGATAGTAATCACAAAGCACTCAGACATAGTTAGGCTGAAAACAAAAAGGCATGATCAGCCAAAACAGGTGGCACTGAACTGCGTGATTCTGAACATTTTGAAAAATTCCAGTCATGATTTCAGACACCAGGCATGATTTGGTGAAGGTACTTTTCTGGCATTCTGTCAACACAAAAATGAGCAGAGGGAAGTCATTTAACTTAAATGCAGGTGTACGCCAACAGATGCTAGCAGTTCTGAGAGCACAACTCAGTCACCCACCTGCCTAGAAGGACACTATCTCAGTGGAACCACAGCGACTACGCTAAGGGTAAGGGTGTTTGAAATGTAGACCTCCTCCCGCTTCATTTAGCTCAATTGGCTATGTGCAATGCAGAATAATGTCAACAGCGTAGGCCCATGTCACTACTGGGAGTGGGAGTTCATAGATACCTATTTCTTATGTTTGATGCAGGGTGATGCCCCTCAAGATTTATATCCAATTGTCTCTCTCTCAAATGGAGAAACATGCTCCTTGGGCTGTCATGGACTAATTACCATTATCTCTCACCTCCCCCAAGTGGCAGCTTTTAAAAAGGGCCACATATAAAAGTAAAAAATAACTCACATATTTATCTTTGGGAAGGCAGAGCAAGTTGAACTAATGTATCACTGATGCCTTGCTTTGTCTATACTTAAGAAACTAACCACTGCCAGAAAATTCCTGGGTCCTTCTGATGATGTGAGAACTTCTGGTTTAGGAGTCCCAGTCCTTCCTGGTCCTGCATCTTTCTACATCGATGTACTTGTAAAGGAACAACAGAGGCTCCATCCCTTCAAAGGCCCCTCAGAAATCACAATGTTAGTCTAGGGCTCAGCAATCAGACTCCTGTTCTAACCTGCAATCATTCTGGTGCTCGTCCAGAGTTAGAGGGAAGTGCACCAAAGGAGCAAGTTTCTCTAAATTTTAGTGGGACAACTTAGGGAGGTAATGTTGGAGTTATACAGAGAAGGATGTAATGTTGGAGTTGTACAGAGTGTTGGTCAAGCCACAATTGCAGCACTATGTGCAGTTCTGGTCCTATCACTACAGGAAGGATGTGATAGCACTAGTGGGGCTACAGAGGAGGTTCACCAGGATGTTGTCTGGGATGGAGAAACTGAGCTGGGATGGAGAGACTAGATAGGCTTAGGTAGTCTTCTCTGCTCTAAAGAAAACAGAGGGGGCAGGGGACATGACTAAGATACATAAGATTATGAGGGGTATGGACAGGGTGATTAGAGAGCAGCTGTTCTCCTTGGTTGAAGAGTCAATCATGAGAGGGCGTAGATTTACAGCAAGGGGCAGGAGATTCAGAGGGGATTTGGGAAAAAATGTTTTCACTCACTGGGTGGTAGAAATCTGGATTGCACTACCTGGGAAGGTAGTGGAGGCTGAAAACCTTAAAAAACTTTTTAAAAATATTTGGATTAGTACTTCAAATATCATAACATTCAAGGATATGGGACAAGTGCAGGAAATTTGGATTAGCGCACTCTTAGTGGTAGTTATGTCAGTGTAGGCTCAATGGGCTGAAGCGCCTTCTCTGCACTGTATGAATCTATGAATCTTTGAAACTTGAAAAGTAATTGCAGTGACTGGAGAACACTGCTATACTAACTGTGGGTGATTGCTTGGTGAGAAAGAGGCTGGGATTTTACTGGTCTCAAGAAGACAAACTAGGGAATAGGATGAATGGTAATATAGCAACGAAAGGAATTGGCGGTAGGGGGAAGGGGGTCTGCCTTATCTCCATGGCCCATCGAACAGCACATGAGCATTATCAGCCATACTCTGCTACTGCTGGTGGATTACTCCTTCAATCACTAGGATGCTAGGTCCTGCTAGGTCCAGTGAAGTGCCCCATGATGGAGCCACCCTCCCTTGCAGCTCAGCACTGTCCACCTTTATTGCCAAGGCTGCACACCTTCTTGCCATTCTGTGCCAGCTCAGTACCAATGCTGGGCTCCAGTGATGGTAGAAAAGTCTACTTTCTGAGTTTATTTTATTGAAATGTAATACAATGAACCTTCATTAGTTAGTATGATCACAACACATAAGAACAGAAGTTGGCCATTTGTCCCATCAAATTTGCTCTTCTACTCAATGAAATCATTGAGTAGATGAGATCTATTAATCCTCAACTCCACGTTCCTACTTTTTCTCCATTGCCCTTGATTAAAATCTGTCTATCTCTGTCTTGAATATACTTAAAGACCCAGCCTTGAAGTCTACTGTGGGAAAGAATTGCACATTGACTGCACTCAAACAAAATTCCACATGTGCTGCATCTGTCAGATAACTCTTCTAAATGGATCCTAATAATTTGATCATTATGCTGCAATGCAGTTTGTGGCCAGCAGGCATAATGACGACATTTTGGAGGCAGCTTAACCTCAAGCATCCATATCCTAGTGTTTGCCACTCAGCTGCACTTTTCTGGCCTTTAGCACTAAGACGTTACATGCATACTGAGTGCCAGATCGCTGTTATCGCTATTAGCAGTTGATTGGCACCTGGTATATTCAATATTTATTTTTGCAGTTCCACATGAGTTTCTCAGGGCAGGCCTTTAGCGAGCAAGAAGCTGCAGCTTCAACAGTAGCTAATTTGAATGAGAAGATATTGACAGCAGAGCATTGCTCAGAATAGTGGTGTGGAAAGATGGAGCATATATATGACCTCTTTTTGGATGATACATTATGCCAAATGTGATTCAATACAATCAAATCGAACACACTAAATTCATAACAACACAACAGAAGAAATAGCTTACATGCAATGCCTCCTCAGAGTCAAGCACCTTGGCATAAATTTCACAGATCTTTTGCTTCCTGCATTAAAAAAAAGTCAGATCGCGTGGCATGTATAAGGTCCAGCAAATAAAATGAAAGTTGTGTATAGCATGGAGAGGTTTAAACTGCTCCATGATGTAATATCCACATACAGACATGGTGGTTCAGTTGCTAATCTTTCACAGGTTTGTAAGTAATGTCCTTGTTAAATTACCAAGTCACAAATTGTTGATTTATATGCAGGGCTTTCACAATGAACACCGTTGAATCAGTAGACCAAAATGTCATCACCAAGCAAATCAAGGAAGCAGAGGTTAATGCACTGATTAATGAAAAGTGAAACAGTGACGTATTTGAATACCAATGGAGCAGCACAGCAGGAGTATATTTCTATGAGTCTCAGGATAAGTTGTTTAACACCAACTAATGGGATTTGTTTTAACTCTAAGTGCTTTTTTTACAAAAGCAACATGCTGTTTATGATTGCTAACAAATACAAAGACATGCATATAAAAAGCACCTGTATTGTAGGGAACATCCCCAAGGTTCTTTACAGGAGTCTACACATACAAGAACTGACATTGAGCCAAAGAAAAAGAGATTAGGATAGGCTTGGTTAAAGGCTAGTTTTAAGGTGGGTCCTTAAGAAGGAAAGAGCTAAATATCAGGTGGAATTTCCAGATTTTCCATAAAGTCTTGTATAAACCATGACGTTAAACATGTATAACTTCTAACAAGGTTCACGCACCTAGCTTCCTTTGTGAGATTTACCAGACGCCGTGCTTTTCGAGCAAGGATAAATCTGAAAGGACAGGAGTTGGAGAAATGTCAACAGTTAAAACGCTCTGAACTCCAAATGCATTTATAAAATCACATTTCAAAATACTTTCAATGCAATTTTTCATGCAGAATCTGTATACAGAGAAATTAAAAACACCCACTCAGAAATTAATTGTTGCTGTGTCTAAGAATCCAACACAGTAAGTGGCAAATGCAAATGGACACTCCATCAGCAAAGATGTCGGTGTTATGTTGACAAACATAAATGTACAGGAGCCATGCCTGAAACAAATGTGAGATCCGTTGCTTATATAACTTGGTTGTTTAACATGGTTTCAGGACTACTTGCTGTCCAGAGCACAGCAGCCCCGATTTTTTGTTCCTATGTCAGGTGAGCAGAGGTTGGAGAATTCTGGATTAGGAGACAGGCTGAACAACTTGGGGGATGCTAAGAAGGCTGGATGGAAAGCTTGCGTTGGGGCTCCAGCACTTTGGTCAAAAATTAAAACAAAAGAATAAAGGAATACGACCCCTACATACTCCATATTCTCTCATATCCCATGCCACCATATACCCATCAACCCATCACCCTCATGTCCCTAATGCAAACTTATTTCTATTCAACATCTTTTCCCCATTCACCTCCCAAGCCAACTCATCGGGTATCCATAAGCACCCAGGCTTAAATGCTCTATTAACAAATACACTCTTATTAAGAAGAGCACTCTCATTCACGAAAAAACTGTTAACATATCATACAACTCTTGACAGTTCATGACAGATTGAAATTTCTTGCTAAATTACAGTTCAAAAGTGTTTATGCACCTTTCATATGCAATCTTTTCCACAGTTAACAGTCTCAGAGGGCACCTTCCAAAGATCCTTGACCCCCTCCACTCCTAAAGGATAACTGATACTTCTCACAAAGGATCCCTGATCCGACCTTCAAGGTATTCTGGGACTATATCCACATAAGTTCCTCAGCGTTCCAAAGGGGGACCCTCACTCTTCAAAAACAAAGCGAACTGGGAAGAGACCTGCTTAAAGCTAATCTAATCTCCACTTTCTGGGTTCTGGGCATCAGGGACTGCAAGATCCTAGTTGATTAGAAGCAGCTCAACATTTAAACTGGCCAGCTGCCTGTGTGAACTATGGCTTTCCCACTCCCAACCCTGTGGAAACAGGAAAATAGCAGATTTGGAGGTGTGACTTAGGATTTTAGATGACTTTCAACATTTCTGCCGTCAGAGAGAATTTGGTCCATTGTGTCTAACAGACACGATGATAAAAAATATATTTCTTTTAAAAAAAACAACTTATATGGATCTAGCTACCAAAGATCATTGTAGGCTTCTGCTCAGCATGCTCCTGATCATTCAAACTTGGATGTTGTCCAGGTTTTACTGCATGTGGCCCCAAGCCGCTTTACTATATGAAGAATTGTATATGCTTTGTAATGCTCAATCAACAAATCAGACCTTTTGATGCTGGGAAGGTCATGGATGAAGATACTGGGTCTGGATCCCTTCTGAGTATTTCCTGCTGCAATATTCTAACGCTAAGACAATTGACCTCTAACAATAACAATGATCTTCCTTTTTGCCAGGTATGACTCCAAGTAGTAGTCTCTCAGAATGAGAAGGAACACATTAGAAAGCTGGATCTAGGAAAACACATTTAAATCCAACTTAGATTGTAGTGTACTGAGGGTGAGGTTTGTGCGCATGAATGGGTGTAGGTGAGTGACAAAGAGGAGAAAGACATGAGAACAAATGCAACAGCCCTCAGCTTGAAGAGGTCATATCTTTATTTTCCCCTACTCCATCCATGCTCCTGGTTTTATAAGAATTGCTTCCTCTGTTTTATTTTGCTGCTACAGATTTCTAAATTTAAAACTAATAACCGCAGTGTAGAAATCCTAAACAAAGAATGCTTTCTTCTTTCATCCAATTACTGCCAGAATTCATTATAGATGTCGGACTTTCTAGGTGAGAATCAATTTCCTTGGTTGATTTTAAAAGAGCTCCAGTGACTTGAACTTAAGGATGGCAGAAGTCTGGTTGCCACATGAGCCTGACTCACCAATTCTCCTCTCCACCACTATGTCTGCCAAGATCTCGAGCTTCCAGTCTGAAAAGCAGAGACCGAGCCTTCCTCTGGGCCTTGTCCTCGCCGGTAACTGCCAAGCATCCAAGAGAGAGGGGAATGGTTCCAGGATTGCAGTGACTGGTGTACAAATGGCCTTTAAATACGACACCAATGAAGTGAATGCCAGAAGATCCCAGCTGTAGTGAGCTCTTCTGCCTCTTGGGCCACACAATTCCACAAGAATGGTGGCCAAGAGCTTGGTGCATAAGAAATTAGCTGAACATGTGAGAAAAGTCACTCCATGCCATGACAGACCAGGAGCAATGAATTTCACTCAGCAAAACACTTTTATGAAAATGAGAGCATTTTGTCCAATTGATTAGATAATGACTGTGCTGGTGTAAGGTAGATTAAAGTGGATCCGCTGTCTGTTTGCTTGTTATTTCCATTGCGAACTTACTGAGATCTTCTTGTCATTTGTTCATAGGACGTGGACATCACTGGCAAAGCCAGGATTTACTGCCTCTGACTAATTGCTCTTAAACAATCTTTAACTATTTTTAAGGCAGGGGTAGATGGATTCTTGCTAACCAAGGGAATGAAAGATTGTTGGGGATGTGTAGGAATGTAAAGTTGAGATTAAAATCAGATCAGCCATGATTAAATTGGATGGCAGAACAGGCTGAAAGGGCTGAGTGATCTACTCTTGTTCATTGTTTGTATGTTTGTACATTTGTATGTTTGTATGTTAAGGACATGGTGAGTCACCCTCTTGAACCACTGCAGTATTTAGATCCTGTGACAATGAAGAAATTGCAATATGGTTCCAAATCAGCACACTGTGGGACTTGGAGAACTTGCAGGTGATTATGATCCTATGCCTCTGTTGTTCTTCTCCTTGTGGGCGGTAGAGGTTACAGGTTTGGAATGTGCTGTGTAAGGAGCGTCAGCGAATTGCTACAGTGCATCTTGTGGATGATACACACTGCTGCCACCATGCATCAGTGAATAGAGAAGTGAATCTTGAAGATGGTATTGCATTGAGCAATGACCAAGGGAGTAATGATCTATCTTGGGTGGTGTTGAGCTACTTGAGTGTCAATGCAGTTGCATTCATCAAGTGGAAAGTATTCCAGCACACTTCTAACTTATGACTTGTAGACGGATGTAGAGAGTCAAGAGGTGAATAACTTGCCACTGAATTGTCAGCCTTTGACCTGCTCTTGTAGTCGTAGTATTTATATGACTGTTCTAATCATGATTCTGTACAATGGTGACTGTCAGGATTTTGATATCAGAGCATTAAGGGATTATAACGATGTTGAAGGTGATCAGAATGTGTTTACATGCTCCTTTGATGGTGATGGCCATTGCCTGGCAATTGTGTAGTATGAAAGTTACCTGCTACCTCTCAGCCCAAATTTGAATGTTATTCAGTACTTGCTGCATGTTGGCACAAACTGTTTCAGTACCTGAGGAATGTAAATGATACTGAACATTGTGCAATCATCAGTGAAAATCCCATTTCTGATCTTATAATGGTGGAAAGGTCATTGATTAAACAACTGAACTAAGTCTCCAACCTGTCAGCATCTTGGGGTTGATATGATTTGCATCTAAATCATTTTCCATTGCGCTAGATATGACTCCTTGATTCCAAATGAATTCAATGTTGTTAGGGTTCTTCAATAGCCATCATTTGATGAAATGCTGCCTTGATATTAAGGACCGTCGCTCTCACCTCACTTTTGGAATTCAGCTTTTATCCACATTTGGACAATCACTGTAATGAGGACTGAATCTAAAAGGACCTGCCAGAATCCAAACTGGGCATAATGATGCAAGTTTTCGCTCAGTGTCACTTCACAGCACTAATGATGACAGTCTATTGGGTGAGAGCAAACTGATGGGGCAGTGATTAGATTTATCCTGCCTTTTGTAGACAGGGAACATCTATGCAGTGTTCAACAATTTTGGAGAGATGTTAGTATTGCAGCTGGACTGGAAAACTTGGTTAAGGATCCAGCTAGTTCTGAAACAGTAGTCAGTTCTTTAATACTACACCACCCATCAAACTGAAGTGTTAAATGTGAAATAAATGGAAACACTTTGTTCAGGATCTGGTATGCATCTCAAGTGGGTGCAAGCCAAGCAAGCTAGGACTTTATCATACAGAAAAACTACCTTGCTTTATCTTACAAAGTTAGAGATGAAAACAATAGCCAACTGTTAGTCATCTTTAAGCTTCTAATGGGGCCCAGAAGTCTACTCTTATTTCATTAAGAAAAATATATTTTGCATTTGGTTTCCAAGTGAAGAAACTGGATACTTCTTAATGGATTCAGAGAGTTAAGTGGCATTTGCATCCACCACAGAAATATAAATTATTAATAAATAATATTATAAATTATATCAGTTACAGAATTAAAAAATTGTGTTGAAGGTAAAGTAGTTAGTTTACATTTCTGTTTGAGAACATCCCAAAGCATGTCACATTGTCATTAAGATGGGCTGTGGAAGATAGGAGGTTCCTCTGTTTACGTTATCTGGGTGTTTGACCAGAAAGCACACAGTAGAAGTTTTAGTTTGGGATAGACTGCAGCTCACTTGATCGAGAGACCCAAAAGGGGATGATTCATAGTCAGACCTGTGCTTTAAGTAGAAAAAACTACTAACTTTATTGTTCATGTATGGTATATGGGTGGAGTTCAAGTTCAGTTAAAATTTTAATGGAGGGAAAAGTCCTTGGAAGATTTGCTTCCCTTGCTATTACTGTAAGAAATCTACAATAGCCCTCACAATCCCTCGTTGCTGAGAACTGTCAGTTCAGTTAGACCACAATGCTATGGAAAGACAGTTGGATATTCACTGGCAGCCAAAATAAGGAGCTGAGGCATATGCAGGCATTAAAGAAAATTAAAACATTGTACTTCGAGGAATAGCTGGAATACTCAGGAAAATTAAAGTCAATTCAGGAGGGCTATGGCATACCATTGCATTGGTCCCCAATGAAGTGAATGAATCTTCAAAATCCTTACAATGTTTAAAGGAATGCTTTTTTTTATGTGTGGTAAAAACAGAGTTCAACGTATAGATAGTTGTAAATGAGTGTTAATTTATTAATGCTTGCTTTTATTATTTTATGTGCAATAGATATCCATTGGGCACTTGACACAATGGATGTGGAAAAGATATTTTCTCTTACCACTGTTTCAAACTAAGGGGTCACCCATTTAAGACAGAGAAAACAAGATTCTTTTTCTCATGGAGGGTCATGAGTTTTTGGAACAGACTTCCTCAAAAGTGGGTGGAAGCAGAGTCTTTGAATGCTTTAAGGCAAAGGTAGATAGATTTTTGATAAGTAAGGAGGTGAAAGATTATCAGGGTAGGTTGGAACGTGGAATAATCAGATCAACTTTGATTTTATTGAATGGTGCAGCTGTTATGAAGGGCTGAGCGGCCTACACCTGCTCCTAATTCACATATTCAATGGATGGTTAAAAATGTGAAATCTTATGATGCAGTTCTGTTGGTTAATCACATAGCAGGATCGCAACAAAACCATGCAAAAATGTCATGAAATCCAAGAATGAACTTTCATCATGCAGAATAAATCACTGCCCATTCACATCATTGTCACAATAAAGATTGAAAACTCTGGGAGGTTACAGAAGGTCAGCCAGCATCCAAAAACAGAAACGACAAGATGATGATGATTTAGTTGCATACTCTTCATCTGAATCCCAGCAATTTCATTCTGAGTATTGGTCTTCCTGAGGATATTTGTGAATGTGACAGAAGACTAAATCAATACAGCACTTACCCCATGATAGCAGGGTAAGATCCATCTGGTTTGCAATCATCCAGAGTCAGTTCAATCGGAGACTCTTCATCTTGAATGATCATGCTACCACAATAATCTGATTAGAAAGAGAAACAGACAACATAAGGCCATAAAATGAATGGGCTGATCTGATAATCCTCATCTCCACTTTGCTACCTTTTCCTCACAACCCTCGATTCCCTTCCTGATTAAAAATCTGTGTATCTCAGCCTTGAATATACTTAATGATCTGACCTTAACAGCCCTTTGCAGTAAAGAGTTGCACAGATTAAATGATCCCTGTGGTACTTCATTAGTTACAGGTTGCCAGCCTGAAAACACACCAGAGAACCATCCAGAGAAGCTAAAAGAAAAGGAGACTGGGAGATCCACTGTCATGGGAAGGTGGAGACTTGGGAACCGATTTGTCGAGATTGGGGGTTCCAGGCCGGGGAAAAGAGGGATGACAATTGTAAAAGAGGAAATCACAATTTTCAAGGGTTGGAGAGGCGATGGGGGAAGAAACCTATACAGCTGTCAACCAAACAGCCTTTCAATATAAGATAACAAGGTGTAGAGCTGGATGAACAGAGCAGGCCAAGCAGCATCAGAGGAGCAGGAAAGTTGACGTTTCGGGTCTGGACCTTTCTTCAGAAACAAAAAGATTTTTTTTTCTGAAGAAGGCTCCAGACCCAAAACGTCAGCTTTCTTGCTCCTCTCACGCTGCTTGGCCTGCTGTGTTCATCCAGCTCTACACCTTGTTATCTCAGATTCTCCAGCATCTGCAGTTCCTACTATCTCAGCCTTTCACTTTAGCTGGCTGCAACTAGGAAAATGCAGAGACAAGATGACAATCAGTTTCTGTCAACCAAGATCTGCATGAAACCTGCTTATCCACGTTTTCTGATCTCAAACCAGCTCCACCTAATTCAAGTTAATATCAAATTAATTCAAGGTTAATATCAAGTAAATTCAAGTTAATAATTCACTCGTCTCTCCAGTTACTATCTGGCCTGGTGAGTATTTCCAACATTTTCTGTTTATATTTAGGATTTTCAGCATCCACAGTATTTTGCCTGAAGGTAGCCAGAATGAAAAGCTGAATGAAAACTTTACAAACCATTCTTTCAGGGAGTATCTACTGAATAGGTTTCATAGGGCGATAATAGTAGGTAGTATTGATTCAGTCGAATATAAATTTGAAATATTCATTCAGAAAATAATATTTTGAATACAGTATGTGTAATTTGAAAAAGGACATATGACAGATATAAAGAGAATACCTCATTCCTCATTTCATCATTGCCTGGAATGGAGGGAAGGTCTTACGAGGAAAGGCTGAGAGAGGTAGGGCTTTTCTCTTTAGAACGACGAGGGATGAGAGGTGACTTGATAGAGGTGTACAAGATGATCAGAGGTAGAGATAGAATGGGCAGCCAGAGACTTTTTCTTAGGGTGGAGGTAGCTATTACGAGGGGCCATAGTTTTAAAGTGAGTGGAGGTAGATATAGGGGAGACGTCAGAGGTAGGTTCTTTACTCAGAGAGTGGTAGGGGCATGGAATGCATTGCCGGAGAGGGTAGTGGAGTCGGCCTCATTAGGGGCATTTAAGTGGCTATTAGATAGCCATATGGATGATAGTATAAGGTAGGGGTGGAGGTTAGATAGACCTTAGGTTTAGGGTAAAAGTTCGGCATAACATCGTGGGCCAAAGGGCCTGTACTGTGCTGTACTGTTCTATGTTCTATGTTCTATTATGTAGTTCAGTTATTTTACCAATTGATAGAGATTGATTTGCACGATGAATTATTATTCTTGTCACATGCAACCACAACGACATGAGAAATTGAGTATTGGTCAAATTGGGGGTAAATTACCCCAAAAAACACAGTCATAACTGATGTTATCAGCATCTATGTGAGTTGAAACCATCCAAGATGATGGTTTCCTCTTAGCTAAACTACCTTTTCAAATACCACTTCCTCCTCATCCTATGTTATTTTGTGATTTACAGATTGCAAATGATATAAGCGTACACCTCTGTTTTTCCCACCCTATTATCACAACCCTCCGCTATGCCCTTCTTTCAGATATTCAAGAACTGCAAACTGGTCTGCTCTCGATTGCAATTTTGAAGAAACACCACTCAATTTCATCAGCTCAGAAACTGATACTGATGGATGATGCATCAGCAGGAAAAAAGCCTGTGTGCAACAACAAGGAATAAGGAACGTTCAGCACCAACTGGCATAAAATCAACATTACAGACTGACTAGCATCATGATCTGCCTACTCAGTTTACCTCTGCTGGACATTCATTGCAGACACATAATGCCCTTCTCAATATAGTGATCAGCATGGCTCACGTGAAGTGTGCATACACACCAACCTCTAAGGCCACTTATAGTGCCCAACGTTTGTGCTGTTGGGTTTTTTTCTCACCCATCAATTCCAATGGTTTCAAAGTGAAATTATTCAGGACCATCCTAGGAATTCTTTCTGTACTTCATAACCTGGCTTGGTCTCATCCCTCTAGCTCTGATTTGATGGCACAGAACACATCAGCATCATCATCTTTTACTGTGATATGTGTTGAATGAGAATTTAATTTTATAAAGTGAGAAATTTAGAGATAATATTAATGATAGGATAACTTCTGACAAGACTACTGAAATATTTCGTGGTGAATCAGCATGTAACAGTTCAATTTCAAATCCGTCCATTACTTTGTTTTCTGGAAAAGAACTCACCTTTCTTCCTCCAGAAGTTTTCTCTGTAGTACACCATACACTTGATCACACAGCCCATGGGAACACGTTGGATGAACTGGTTACGTAGATTTGGCAGGGGTGGTTGATAGTGAATCTTCGCAGTGAGAGGTGGTGGAATTGCACTGATAATATATTTAGCCTAAATGACAACAAAAAAAGTATAACTTCCTTTCCACCTTTCCGCTTTTCTTATCTCCACTCACCTCTTCCTAGTCATAAAGGTTGAATAAATAGGTTTCTCCGTTAATAGACAACTCTGGAGAGATTCAAGATCAGACATTCCTCTCCATCATTGGTCTAAATTTCAGGGTAACAACAGAAAATGAGCTGGAAATCCACCAATTTTAACGATCAAGAGATGACACATTGTGAGGCTGTCTGGAGGTAGGAGGTTTGGGTTTGGGGGGTGATGTGATATTGGCTCATTTATGATTCTTCTGCATTTCCTCACTGACACTTTAATTTCAGACCAGAAGTGTGCGGAGACATTCTCAGGTATCCAGTCAAATACAATGCATCAAAGCTAAGATGTTAAAGTAGTTCTGAGCTGCTCATGGTCCACACCATGACAAAACTTGAATAACTACATAGAACAAGAATCATCAGGAGAGAGAGACAACTGGTGATGGTTTAATCTGACGGTCACCACATTTCAGGTGAGATTGAGAAGGTGGGGCCTTTATGGTAACCTCAATCGATGCAAGAATTGAACCCGCACTGTCAGTGTCACTCTGCATCATGAATCCAGCCAACTGAGCTAACCATAGCACTATGGTAATGGTTACCATTAGGCTAGCTTCTTATTCCAGATTTGTATTGAATTCGAATTTCACTATTTGCTATTGGCATAATTCAAACCTGAATTCCCCCAGAGCATTAGGCTGGCACACTGGGTTCCTAGTCCAATAATATTTCCACTTGGCCACCACCTCTGGAGTTCAGGATCCAACGTTCAACACTCGTGCTGATTTTTGAGCCCGTATATGTACCATCTTAGGTTTCTCAGCACTGTTTTGACAGATTTCACTCTGTGAATGTAAAGATTATACGAGAAAACATACAAGAATTCTAAATGTCAATGGAAGATTGTCTGGAAGTTGTCAAAGTGTATTCATCCTTTAGAATTTCGCATTTTCTCAGTATTTGAGGTAAGAAAACCATGTCAGCAAATAACTAGCGGGTGACAAAATATACCTCTGCTCTCATGGGTAATTAATGCAATAAGAATTGTACAACAGCAGCAAATGAGCAGTCATGAGGCACATGCCTACACTACAGTAGTTATTGAGATGACCATCATGCTGTTAATGACCCCATTCTCAAAATCTGGGGCTGAGATTTTTCAGCCTCGTTGTAAGACAAATGGGACTGTCACTCTCTTGCATTTATGCTGCCAGACCAGCCCCAAGAATTTCTAGGCCTGTGTTCAACTTTTGTGAACAAAAACAGAAGTTGCTCAGCTCAGCTGGTACGTTAGCATCTGTGAAGAAAAAAAAAATCAGAATTAATATTGACTGGATCCGAAACATTAACTCTGATCTTTTCTTCACAGGTGCTGCCAGACCTGCTGAGCTTTTCCGGCAATTTCGGTTTCTGTTCCTGATTTATAGCATCCGCAGTTCTTTCGGTTTTTATTCCCTTCTTTTGTGCAATGCTTTGGATTAAAGTGCATTACCAGTTATTACTTTCCTCACCTTAAATGTCTCATGATCCAAAGTCTCCACAATGACTATATCTTGCGTTTGATCAATTCGGATTACAGGGCTTTTCAGTTTTACACAATCTCCAAGATGGCTCATCAATCGTTCACAGATCTGACCAGAACCACCAACAAACTTTCGTTCCTGTAAACATAGAATATGTAATCAATGGACTACTTGAAAACTGTAGATCATTAAAAACTGTTCATCAAGTCGTCTATAATCTCTATAAATGAGTTATTAAGACATCAAAAAGTGTACATCAAAGAGAAAAGGACTTGGATTTCACGACCCTGCAGTGTCCCAAAGCACTTTTCAAAACCACACTTCTTTGACTGTAATGTTGTGAATGATGTAATGTAGAAATTATGGTAGTCAATTTGCACAAAACAACATTCCACAAACATCAAAGTAAAGATCGGTATTTGGGATAACGGTTAAGGGATATACATTGGAGAATTTCCCTGCTCTTTGAAGTGGTGCCATGCAATAACTTATATCAGAGAAAGCGCACTATGACTCATTTTAATGGACTCTTTCCGATACAATACTTCTGTCAGTGCAGCGCTCCCTCAGTATTGAATTGGCAAGTTAGCTGGACCTATTTTTCAAAGTTCTAAAATGGGACTTGAACCCACAACTTTATACTAAGGAGGCAAGACAGTTACCATGGAGCCACAGATAATCATCAGGACTATTTTAGTTCATCAGCCAAGTGGAAGTTACCATTAAGTGTTCTGAAGGAGAAAATCTTGGGAGTCAGCCTAAACTACATATTTTGTGTACACCCAAAATGTTCTGGCTCAGAAATGAAGACAAGTGTTGAGACAGCATGCAAAACTGACATTGAATAAATTGGACAAATAAGATTAATTTTGTCTCTATTAACTCACAAGTTTTCTCTGTCAGGTGTGTCACTTCACAATTAACAATTCATTTTACTGATATATTGCAGAATGATTTACTATACTTATTAATATGTTTGAGATAGTTAAACCATACTCCCTCTTTGGATTCGTCCTTCACCTCTTAACATAACCCCCTATTTTCTCTTTTTTTCTATTTGATATGATTGTGGCAAAAAATGAACTGTCAATTTTGATTTTGATTTTGATTTTAATACCTGGGACCTGAGATGAGCTAAATGATTTTTTATAAAAGAAAACCACTCACAGTATTTAAGATGGCTTCAGCGATCACCTGAATAGACTGAGCCAAGTTCATGAAATGGTCAATATGAAAAATTATTCTGGACTGAAATTAACATCATTATAAAAAGATCTGTATCTCCTGTTAATGAATGTCTTTCTGGAAGATTCACATAATGGGGTAAAAATCATATGCAGACTATGAAGCTTGGAAGAACATTGAAATCACATATGAGAATACACAAAGGGACAAAAAATTTTAGGCAACAGCTTTTTGAGAGAGAAAGAAAGATGGATTTGTAACAACAGAGCTGGAAGGCTAGTGATCTCTGTCTCATTGATTCACTGTAACTCTTGAAAACTGCATATAGTGAAAAAAGTAAATTGGAAAATTATCCAATCACTGAGAACTCAGATATCTACAAATTTTGCATCCTGTGCAGGATACAATCATCAATTAAACACCGTGCTCTCAGGTGAAACCCAAACCCTCTAGGACTCGACAGACTTTTTAAAACTGGACGTTTGTGACCTTCCTTTTTGCTATAGATACTGTTCTATTCTCGTACTTTATATCTGTGTTTGTGTGTGTTTGATATCACAAGAAAGCCTTGTAATTGGCTCTTTAATTTTAACCAGTACTATATTTCAATAGAACACTGAAATAGCAGCATGCAAGAAATAATTGAAATTCTTTGTTGTAGCCAACCAAGAGGATTGAAAAGCAGAAAGCCAATTCCCATAAGAGTTGGAGTGAGGAAATTAAATTGTTCATTCAGAAGCTATTTAAAAATTTGCAAACAAGTTATCTGGAGTGTGTAGTATTAAAATGCTTTGACAGGGAAAGCTCACAAAGTTTACATCATTTCTTTACTTTTCTACTTTATACTAAGAAGGACGTTAATGTTGAACTTTTAGCTATACTTCCTTATTTTTCTACTTTGTACTCAAAGTTTTGTACCTAGGTACTTTTGTACCTAAGATGGTGCTGTGAATGGTGACATTGCACACTTTTCACTGTACTCTTGTATCCCTGTACTTGAGTACACGTGACAATAAAATCTAATTCTAATTCTAATTCTAATTCCCTCTTGCCTGTTGACAATGTCACTGATTATGAGGCACCAGTAAGGGTGATTTTAAGCACATACCATTTTATGTCAGAGGCATATCGGAAAAGTTCCATTCTCTCAGAAAGCAGCCTGAGCAGACAAATCTGGAACTTGTGCAGCTTTTTGGTCAGTGGGTGTGGACACTTAAAATTGAGGCCATCTATGAAAACCTGGGAACGTATTTCTAAGTTCTCAAAAATTCAATAGCCTTTCCAATCTGGATGCTTGTAGAGAGACAGAGACTCAGACAAGCAGCTATTCTGGCTGACAATAAGTTAAAACACCAATCCATGAATGTTGTCTG